CCCCTAAACTAAACCCTAAACTCGAAGGTACCCCCAAAAGCCCAGAAGCATCCTAAACCCTATGAGCCCTCGCGAGGAGGACAATGCCATGAAGATTCAGTCCGATTTCTTCGCATTGCTCTCGGAGAACTCCATGGAGTGGGAAGGCCCGAAAGGATCAGTTTAGGGTTTTGGGGGTTTAGGATTTAGGGTGTAGACTCATCTCTTGGGGTTGGCCCGAAAGGATAAGTTTAGGGTTTTAGGGTTTTGGGGTTTTAGGGTGTAGATTCATCTCTTGGGGTCTTTAGGAGTTACTCAGGGTTGTGAGCGTAGCATTCTTTCCCGACATGCAACCTTAAGCCCCTACCGAAACTCCCCCAGGTTTAATCCTGAGATGGTACTGCTATGTCATGGGCTTCGGAAGGAGATGTAGTATAGCGTGCGCTTGTGGGGTAATGTTACGGGATAGTGCAAGCCCGGAGCAGGTGCGACGGTGCCTGGGAGCAATCTCGCTTACTGCCAGTGCGGATCTGATGCATCGGGTTCCGCTTGCCGCAGTTGCGCGAGGCGGGGCTTTCGAACTTCGGATCCACAGTGATGCTACTAGTAGCTGCCGTCATCGTTACCCAATCTATGACTATTGCATGCCGCTGCTATCCTACATCCTTACAACTCAAACACTGCGTAAACCCTCAACCCAGACCTTAAACCATCCCTAAACCTTGAGCCCCAACCCCTAAACCCGAAGCCCCACTGCGCAGAGCATGAGCTCGGAGTGCTCGGGAGATGTGGCAAGTCGTGTGCTCTGCTTGCACAGCCGCCGGCAGCCTTCGCTACGAAAGCCAGAGCTCAGCTCGAGTGAAGCTGCAAAATTGTCTAGGACATTTTCAGGTGGGTAGTTACCGTTATAGGAGCCTTATAGAAGGTCTATATACCTTATGGAAGCCTTCTACAAGCCCTATATACCCTAAACTCCCCACCTGTAAATTCCTTTCAAATTGAGAGATATCTGGATTAAGGACTTCAGGGTGCTTTTTGGGTTGTGTCGGCTTCGGGGTTTCATGATGGCCCTTGGGTGAACCATAAACAAAACAAACATCTCCTGAGCCCTACCCGTAGGCCCCATAGTAGTGGCTTTTTGGGGTTCATGTTTAGAATCCTATAAGGTAATCCGAAAAAAAAAGGAACCACTATGGGGCCTACGGGTACGCCCTAAACTCCGTGGCAAGGCTCGGGGAGACGTCGATGGCGAAATCCGGCACGAGCTGCTGTGCAAACTGCCGTTGTGGCGTGCAGTGCCTGAAGTACAGACTGTGTCTTGGATCTATAGGGGTCAAGGGTTTAGGGTTGAGGGTTGACGGTTTCAGGTTTCTTTGTAAGGGGAGGGGAAGGGCGGGGGATGTTGCTTGGAACATTTTTGGGGTTCCGGAGGTTACGTTCAAGCCTAAACCCTCGATCTTTCAACGAGAGTTTTAGGGTTTTAGGAAGTTCCAGGGTTCGGCTCTTCAGGAATATTGTTAGGGAAGTAGGAATACAAGCTGTCTTGGAGCTATGGACTATACCTTGAACTACATAACCTACTTGTTTGTAGGTCCCTATTATCAACTTACCCTAATATAGAATTTATCGGGACCCTACAAAAAAGTAGGTTTTGGTAGTTTAAGGTAGTCTATAGTGTTTGGGCTGAGCTGTGGGCTTGAGTTTCAGGATCTTGCGTGCGCAAGAAAGGTCGGGTCAAGAGGTTCAGGGAAGTCATCTGTAGGGTCAAGAGGTTCAGGGAAGTCCTCTGTAGGTTTAAGGCTGTTTTGTGTTTTTTTGTTTTCGGGTTGGGGGCCGTTCTGTGCGTACGATGTTGCGTTTTAGGGGTTAGGATACCTTCAACATCCTTCCACCTATCATCCCACAGCTTAACCAGCTCCAAGCCCAAGCGTGAGTTGGAGTTCTTTCCCGTTCTCTTTTCGAGGATCTGGGCTTTGGGGCTTTGGAGTTGATTGAAGTATCGCTTGGGTTTAGGGTTTAGGGATCAGGGTTTAGGTACGGATCTGGGACCAAGGTGGGGCGTACGAGGAGCCGCCGGCTGGTGTGTGGAGAGGGCATGCAAGCCGTGCCGCTGAGATGTGACGAACCACTCAGCGCGGCCTCTCTACCAAAGTGTAGGAAGAATCTTGTAGTGCGGGCCCTTGATTGTTAAATCATCGGGGGTCTTCATTACCATGCACTCCTTCATGGCAGACAGCGGGTCCGAGCAGACGGAGCTGCATTTGGCACGCGCAATCCCACGCAGATGCGCTCTTTTCCTGAGCTGCATAGTCTTGTTTCGCTCATTTTCAGCGCTCTCTACCTGGGTTGCGCATACAGTGAGGTGCTACAGTTTTGATATGCCATG